TTAAATATGTGATTGAAAGTACATTAGTTTAATGATCAATTATTTAACAGGGAATATTTTAATTGAAATATCTTTTATAAGGTATTCTTTTCATCATACAATTTTAGGGAGTTCATTATTGTACCTTTTGCTAGATAGAACTTTCTTCCATTTATTTCTATCTGTTTTCATTTATTTAATTCCTTTCTACCCCATAAAAAACCACCCTTGCTAGTAGTAAATTTTATTTCTGGCAAAAAGTCACTTGGAAATATCTTCTGTTCACAATGGAATTTGCATGGTACCAAATAAAGTTGTGTTTACATAGAATCAGTTGGAAGGGGCTTTTAAAGTTCATTTAGTACAATTCCTCTGCAGTGAACAAACATTTTCAAGTAAATCAGGTTGCTCAGAGCCCCATCCAACTTGACCTTGAATATCTCCAGGGATGGGGTATCCAGCACCTCTCTGTTCCCATGCCTCACCATCCTCGCAGTAAGATAATTCTTTCTTGTATTTAGTTGGAATCTATCCTCCTTTAGTTTAAAACCATTACCTCTTGTCCTATTGCTACCACCTCCTTAAAGAATCTGCTTCCATCCTTCTTATAGGATTCCTCTAAATATTTTCTCATGATTCTTCTGATAAGTTTTAGCCCTCCTCTGAACCAACCCCAACACTTACATTCTTTCAACCCATGTATGGCTTGAAATATTCTTTGCTTTCTTATTAGTCCAAAATTTTTAAAAAGCAAAGGGAAAAACCAAATGCTTTGAGGAAAGTATCACTTGTTGCTCATGTGCCTTACTTTCAGGGGAGATAGACCTGTTCATACACCATGTAAAAAAAGTGTGTCCCAGTTTGTGCTGGAATGAGGTTTTTCCTCTGGGACAAAAGCGTGGATCAGGTGTTGCCTGTCAAACTATGCATCCAGCTCCCCTCATTGTGGCTCCCTATTATATCCAAACTCGCCTGTATAATTTTCTACATCAGAACCTGAGCAGTGACCACATTTAAAAAACAGCACTCTGAACTTTTACCAGTTTAATTCCTTCAGACCTGTGATATGCTCCTTACTGAATTAAAATATTTTTCTATTCCTGTAAGTTGCAGAGATTAAACAGAACTTCATCTCCTTTATTTGTGCTGCCTGACATAAGCTTAAAAGAAGAGGGAGATCAAAGGAAACTTGTGCTGGTTTTTTTTTTTGACGCGTGACAATTTTTGGAAGTCACCTTTTTGGAACATGAAGCCTGATACTGCATGGTAAGATACTCAGTGGAAATCAGGATGTGCTTGGTCACAAAATCCTTTAGGTCTGGGAGCTTTAGAAGACATGGCCACTCATGAAGGCATCCATACAAGGCCATCAAAAGCGTGGCTTTCACCAAACACCACTTTTGCTCTTGCCTCAGATGAGATCATGACTACAAAGGCTTCCAGAATGACCACTGAATACAGAGATGGATTTTGTCTATGCAGGACACAGCTTTCATGTTTGTGGGACTTTTGCGAGAGTGTGGCCCTTCCTCACATGCTGCACTCCCTCCATCACCGGCCTTCTCTCTGTTCCAAAGCTCCTCTATCAGCAAGGAACAGTGACATCTGACCGGAGCCTACAGCGAAGGAGCAAAACCATGGCAAGTTGCAAGTGACAGTTTGAGTTATAAAAAGAACACGATAGGTACAGAGTATTCCCATGGTCTTTCCAAATGTCTCTATTAAGAATGATTCTATTATTTAAAAATAAAAATGTTTCCATAGTTCAGGAGAAAAGGGCCTGGTTGAAAACCATTTTTTCTTACCCTTTCCCTCCCCAATCACTGTAAGAACAAATACATAAAATTCTGATAAGATTGAAAGCCTTTTCCCACAACTGCAGCTTTTAAAAAAATACTGTATGAAATGGGGGTCAAAAGGCTGTATTTTAAAAATGTCTAACTCAGTGGGAGATATTTCGACGTTGTATGGAAGAGAAATCACTTTAGATTCCAGTAGAGAGTGAACTCACTTTCTCTGTTCCCTCCACAGTAAAAATCAGTCAGGGAAAATCAAATAAAGCAAAAAGTTTCAGTGAATTAATTGTCCACCCTCTGCAGAGACACAATAGGAGATAAAGAAGTAGACACTAGCATAGGACATTGGTTCTCTTGACTCTCAAATTTTATTGTCTACCTCAGAGAAATTAAGAGTATACTGCTAGTCAAAATACTATAAATCTGCATGGATAATTTATCCACTTAATAATTTTAATACTTATTTTTCACTGCTGATAGAAATGAAGATTCCAATGTAATTTTTATCAGTTTTTAGGAAATTATGGAGGCCAGATAGAGGCACATTTAAGTCTGGTAGTGACTTGAAGGAAGCATGTTTCAAAAACCCTGAACTTCTCTTTATTAACCTTCAGAGATTCTGCTCAGAATGGTACCTCTTGCAGTGGCTTTGCTTACTAAAATAGAGCTTGTGGGCTTAAAGAGCCTTGCTTTTCACCCATCTGCCACATGAACCTCTGAAAGGGATTTGTAATGCTACAGTTCAGATGTAGTGCAGGTGAACCTGGAGAGGGACTTCAGATGATCCTTTGTTCTCATCACATTTGTTTCCACAAGATACGGACTATGTGGTGTACGACGGTGAACTTCCCTAATGAAGCCCTGGTCTTTTCTCTAATTTGTTTCTATCTGTTTCCCATCTGTACTCTTTTTTTCTTCCTTTTTTATTTGCTTTAATTTTATTAGAATGTAGAGTGGTTTTTATAGCTCTTTAAGAAATGAAACATGGATACACTTGGTTTTTCATTTCCCCTGAAAAATGAGTTCCTATTTCAAGTTGCACACAACTCATTACAACACCATTAGCAGATTTAACATAAATAATGGAGGCAACTAAGTCTTAAGTGTAGCCATAAATATGATAAGTGGCTGACTTAAGGAAAAATTTGTGAGTCTGAAATGCTTCCTGATTTCATGAGTTCTTTCAGTTCTAAGATATAAAATTCATTGTCTCAGATGGGGATGAGTTTTACTGATCATGTCAAGGCCCTTGTATTCAGGGCACAACATAAACTCCTAATTACATGTGTTTACAGAAGAAATTGAAGAGATTCTCTCTGTGACTGAATTTTCAAATGTCAATAGTTACACATAAGGAGTAAGGTGTCAATGCTCTGTTCTTCATTTCTCGTTTTGTTCCCTGCCTTCTACCGCACCAATCCTAAATCTTTTGTATGCTTGTCACATTTCTGGCTTTGGTTTCTTCACAGCAAAGCTCAGACTGACTACAGCACAGTGTCTATGACCAAAGAGAGCAAATATAATCACTTGCTGCATCATTCACAATAACTTACAATCTTACTGCAGCAATAAACTTTCTTGGCCTGTATAAAGTCTGATTGTTACAAACTCTTTGCCTTGTGGTGAAACACAAGTATTCAGTCTGAGATGGAAGACCTTCTTTGAATTAAATCCAAGGTGTTTCATTCAATACCCAGTGTTTTGATCAACCGTTAAATATTTCTTGGCTCCCTAAATTTGTGTTGTCATACACATCCCATTGTAAGATGGCAGTTGGAACTCAGCCCTAAATGAAAATTGATTTTTCAGCTTTAATATTTCAGTGTTGTTTCCTTACAAAACCCTTCTTGAGAAAAATACATATAAATGTCATATGTTGATGCAAAGAGGCGAGCAGCTCTGCTCTTCTGCACATAAAGGATGAGGCATCTTACAACTGAGTCAGATGATCTGTGGAATTTGCAGTTATCATTTGCCACAGTATGTGGACAATAATATTTGGCAGGCTTGGCGGCCTGGATCTGCTGTGGGTGGATATGGCAGGTCCCTTTAGAGAACATTCTTTGCTAGTGGCCTTTGGGTGCATTATCTCTTTGTGCAAAACCATGCTATGACTTTTCACCACACAGCTTCCACTCCGGTGGTTTCTCAGGAGAGGGAGGACTAGCCCTGATCCCTGTCAGAATGACAAAGCTTGTGTAAGGCTGGACAGGCTGATGAGGCTCCTCAGAGTCTGGAGATCAGGAAGCCAGATAATAGATATTGTTTATTTCTCATTCCTTGTAAGATTCCTACATTTGATCATAGGTTTATAATCCAATATCATCCTTAAAGCAGGACTGATACTGAATTTAGACTAGGTTGCAAGGGCTTTATCCAAAAAGTCTTGTAAACCTTCAGAAATGAAGACTGGACATTTTATCTAGGAAAACTCTTAAATTTCTTTTCCTTAGATCTAACTGAACCTCCACTGACTTAATTTTTGAGAACTATCTCTGATTCTTCTTCCATGCATGACTGTGAAGAGACTTGCTATGTCCTCTTTATGGTCTTGTAGGTACTGTAAGGCAATTAGGAGGTACCTCCAAAGCTTTCTTTTTCTCCAGGCTGAACAAGCTTTTTTCATAGGTTGAGGACTCCCCATTTCTCTTCACTGAATTTCATGATGTTTCTGCAATCCCATTTCTCTGTCTTATTTACATCTCTATGAATGAAAGGTCTACCCTCAAATATATGAGCTACAACTCCAATTTGAGGTTATTCTCAGATGTGATGAGATGCATTGTCTACTTATGTAGGTCATAGATAACAATAACAAATATCAGATAGGGCCCAGGAAAAATCGCTGACAAAAGCCACCTGTCATTCCTGCCTAAGTGGAATACACATCAGCCACTTTGTTTTGAACCCAGTGATCCTCTCAATATTTCATCCAGGCAATTATCTGCCTGACTAAACCTTTACGTTCTTTCTTAGATAAAAGGGTATTGTAAGAAACCTTGTTGAAAATCTTGTTACGTTCAAGGTCAGTGACATTCAATGATTTTCTTGCATCAGTACCCTTACCCAGTTATCTTTTTTTATCATTATCTCAAATATCATGATCTTTTCATCAGTACACCGGGAAAATATCTAGTTTTCCACAAAAGTTCTTTTCTATGTCTGGACCATTAGTCAAACACTAGAGTCACCAGTAAATCTCATATATAACCATGTTTTACTCACCCTTTCTGGACACTGCTTCCTTTTGTTCATGGTCTTCACACCACTTGTCTGAAAGGTTTCTGGTTTGTGACAACAAAGTCTTCTGTTCAAATGGGAGCAACAGAGATAGAAAAACAGAGGGAGGGGAAACAGATTAGTTCTTGACAAGTCTGACATTAGTCAGGCTTGTCACATAAGACACTGAGCCCATGCTGAAGAGAGTGAAGGCCCAGGGATGGGACTTCATGACTTAGGAAAATGGTACTGCATTTTTACCTTGGAACAAGTACTTTGTGTATGATTTTTCTTATAAAGAAGTAAGATACTAAGTGGGTTTTTTTGCCACAAGGCTAACTGTCTTGAGGATCATGGAAGAACGGAGGTGAGTGGATTCATCTTGTAACAGGACTGTCACTCCTTGTGTTAATTTCTGTTTGTGCACCAGGACAGCTGTGAGTCTCTGATTGTGCTGTGATAACAAGCACTGCTTTCTGTTTTCCTCTTAACCAAAGAACAAAAAGCAAGGAACTGAATTACTTTAAGACAGTTGGAGAGACAGATTTTATATTCAGTATTTTCCCAGAGTATAATGTCACCAATTTTCAAATATGTGCTAACACCTTAACTTATTTTTTTTCTGCATTAAACCGACTTCTGCTGCTTCTGACCTCAGCCAAGTTACTGTATGTTGCTAACATTGCATTATTGACAGAAGCAAGCCACAGTGCACCAATAGATGCTGGATCTTTCCTGATCTGCATCATATTTCCATGAAAAGATGACAGTTGGCAGAAGATGCCAGTTGTCACATTATACGTGAAAATACTACAAACTGCTTTCATAGCAAAATGTCACAAAGCACATGTTGTTTGGGGAAAGAGAAAAGGGAAAGCAAATACTGGAAAGGTACTGAGCAATCAAGCTTCATTTGCTTTACACTAGATACTGAGTGCCTCAAAGAAGAGGTGCCAACAGTGACTTTAACAGTGTTTTAGCTCTTACCTGAGACTCACAATAAGGTAGTTCCTATTTTTTATTTCTGAGCTCTAGTTTCAATGTTTTAATAACGTTTCTGCATTTTTGTTGTATCTGGTCTATAAAGCAACATTTCCACAGGAAAGAAATTGCATAAAATTAAAGCTGGAGTTCCAGAGTTTGCTGTAATTTTTCATTTTTCCATTCTCCCTTAGAAAGGTTTTAAAAATACATTAATGTAAATATTTAGACTTTTGGGATTTTGCCACTGTTTTCTCTCTGCTGAGGCTTATTTGTCTCATGACTTCTCATTTCCCTGTTAAACAGAGCACTATTTATGAAATTAAATACATGCATAAAAACCAAAAAATATGGAGCAGACACTTCTGCAACAAAGCACAGTCCATAGTTCTGCTAGAGGAAGTATGCAAATGCAAGAAACAAACAGAATTTCAAAACTGCAGCTTCCTCAATTTGGAAATGCTGGACTGTCCATGTGATACAGGTGCATTAACATGAAAAATGGTGCAAGAAGGGCAGTGCACTGACAGCTGCTCAGTCGCTGGCTACTCTGCTCAGCAGCAGGCCTATGCTCTGCCTGACAGCCATCCCAGCTAGCTGGTGGCTGTTCAAGCCTACACAGAAACTTGAGGTCTGCAGGAAATTTTAATTAGAAGAAGAGATTCTTTCAAAAGACTGTCAAAGGAATTGTCTTTTCCAAGTGTGTGTCATTTACTTTTCTTTTCTTTCCCCTTTAATCTGTAACAAGACTGCCCATGGAAAGAAAATGGTGCCCACTTCCTGCAACTGCAAGGCTGAGGCTGAAACCCAAGCAGAAACATTACACCTGTGTTGATATCTTCACTCAAAGAAAACTGCCAAAAACTGAAGTACTTGTCCAGAATAGCTGTTTTTGCTCCTGTACCTGAAAATCAGTCCAGCGCCCATCCCTACCAGTGGATGTCATAGATGCAAGTGGACCCCGCTGGAAGAAATCTTCAGACAATTTGCTGTGCTACAGGAGGAGTTTAACAGGTGGTGGAGGGCCTGGGAATATGAGAGAGAGGTCAATAACTGGTATTGTGTGCTGTCCCAGACTGACCAACAGCCCAGCCTTGAGGCTGTACAAGGGAATCTAACCTCAAACTTTCTGACACGAGCAACTCATGAGATAAAGGAGATTGCATAATTTTCTCTGCATGGAGAATCTTCCCCTGAAGTGTCTCTATACAACAAATACTGTGCTCTGGGCATGCGCAGTGAATGTCACAGTAATAATGGACAGGATCCAGGAAACCCCAACCATTCAATACCATCCCTTGTGTGAGAAACAGTAGCTTCAGAAAAAGATGTAATTGGAGATTCCTTACCGTGAGCCACCAAAGCACTTATTTCTCATCCAGATTTTTCTCCAGAGAAGTTCACTGCCTATCAACAGATTGCATTCACAACGTCACTGCGAGGCTGCTGAGCCTACTGAACCCTACAAATTACCATCTGCTACAATACCATTCTATATAGGGTCTGTGGCAAGACAATTCTGAACACTCTGAAAAGATTGTATATCCCTCAGAGCAATATCAAATCCCCTGGGGATTTGATCACATTCTCCTCTGTCCTCACAGGCAGACATACGAGTTCAGGAAAGAGGAGTCAAATTGAAAGGTGAATGCCTGGCTGCGTGGCTGATGCCACACTCAAGGTTTGGCTTCCACGATTGTGGACCTGCCTTTGGAAGCAGGGCCTGTTGTGAGCTTGTGAGATTCACCTGACAAAGTAGGCAGAAGGCTGTTCACCAACAAGCTGTCCAGACCTATATGGAGAGCATTAATTTAGATTCAGTGGGGAAGGGGACTTTGAACAATAGAGGAAAACTAGGGGCAGCTAATGTATTAGAAACCAACGCAGCAACACCTGTGGAATGCCTCAATGGCCCTGGGGAGTATTTGTCCGAAGAGGGGAGACAATCTGCATCACAGGTGAAGTGCCCCTGCAGCAATGCCCACAGCACGGTAACAGCAACAGCCAGAAACCTCTGTGCAGCTGGAGCACCGTGGTCTAATCAGTGCCACTGAGATGTGACTGAGGGACAAACTGCACGGTTGGAGCTCTGCATCAGTGCTATAAACTGTTCACAAGTGACAGGCAAGGAAGGAGGATTGGGCAGCAGTGGGGATCATGTTACCCTCTGTGTGGAAAATGGGTGAACTACAGAGAGCTGCCATGGAAAGCCAGCAATGAACAGGTGAAATGGGTAAAAATTTATAGGTAAAATTTGGGGTCAAGCCAACAAGGGAAACCTCATGGTTGAAGTTTACTACAGGCCACCAGACCTAGGGGAGGTTGTTAATGAAGTGTTTTTATTTCAGCTACAGGGCTCTAATCCTGATGGGGGATTTCAACTACTCCAACATCTATTGGAAAAGTACACAACAAGCTGTAAGCAGGCCAGGAGACTCCTGGACTGTTTTGAGGAAAATTTATTAATCCAGGTGATAGCCCAAACAGAGGAGAAGCATTACCATACCTGTTATTTACCTACATAGATGAAGTAATTAGAGATGCCAAAATTGGTGTCAGCATGGCCTGAAGTTATCATTCTTTGACTGAATTTATAGTCTAGAGAGATATGGGCCAGATGAAGAATCCTCATGTTTAGGAAAGCAAAAGTTCGAGCAAGCAGTGCACTGAAAACCTGGAAAATTGCCCTCGGAGGATAAAGGAAATAAAAATTGCTGTCAGCTCCTTAAAGACATTCTTCTCAGAGTGCAAAAGGTCTTGTTTCCCCATAGGTAACCAGGAAAGGAAGGCAGGAGGCCAGCACAGCTCAGTTCGGCCTCCCAGCTAAAGACAGAAGTGCAAAAGACAGATATCCATCCTGGGAAGAATATAGACACTGTCTAGAGGTTTGGACAATAGAACACATAAGCTGATGCACAGTTGGAGCTGCAGCTGTTGAGGGATTCAAAGAATACTAAGGGCTTCTACAGGTATGTTGGATAGAAAAGGAAGATTAAGGAAAATATGCCCCCTCAATATATAAAATAGGACAACTAGCGGCAATCAATGTGAAGAAGCTGAGTAACTCAGCAATTATTTTAGCTTTAGTTTTAAATGTTAAACTGTCTTCCAACATTTCTAAAGCCCCTGAACTTCAAGACATGAATTGGGGAAATGAAGTCCAGCTTTGGGACCTGCTGAGGAACCTGAACATAAGTAAACCCATGGCATTCATTGAGAATTAATCCTCCAGGACATGAAGATAACTTTGCTCTAGCTTTCAATGCTGTACCATTTCCAATCTCAAGAGAGACTCAGGATTAATTTTCCTGAGAATGTGGAAGTAGATTTCATGTTGAATATTTCATACAGAGGAATGGCAGCTTTCACCAAGAAATTATCCTCTTGGGAAATAACAACAATAAAGATTGTTTTTGTTTAATTAAGTTTCCTTTAGGTCCTACAGCAGAGTTCTATCAGCATATTGTTGGATTACTCAATCAACCTCATTTCCATTTGCCTTCAATTAGTTTTACATTTAATATTCATACATTTCTGGAGTTGGCTAAAAGAGAATGAAGACAGGAGCTGGAATAGGGAATTGATTTTGGTCCTCCAGGAGGATTTAACAGTGAAGCAGCAAAATTATTTCATCATTACCTTTGTGAGGAGTAAAAGAACATTAAAAGACTGGAAACTAGCTTCATTCTTCCTTTGGCACAGACATTGCCACTGCCTTAATAGTCACCTAATAGAAACCAAAGAAATGTGCGGAAGGTACTACTTATGCTGTAGGTTCATAGTGAATGAGTTTTGAAATGTGCAAACGTGTCACCTCTCTACTGTTCAGTATTCAGGATCCATCAGCTTTGCAGTGAAAGAGGGAAGCATTTTACTTAGGTATGAGCAGGATCCTGTGTTAGGGTGATGCCAAAATCAAGAGCACATATTTCTTCCAAGATGACTTATACCCAAATCAACATCCATCTAGGAAACATGTGGTCCAAGGCAGGGAAACTGAGGCAGCAGAACTGGCTGTACCATCAGCAAAGGTGATGGTATCACCTTTAGGAAGTTATCAGATGGATTTACTGTGTGAAATTCAGGCTGCTTTTCTGCCCATCACACACATTATGCAGTTACCCCTCTGACTTCAAAATAAACATGGTCAGCACTGCTCTACCTGATTGTTGAAT